AATTATAGCGTTACCCCCCTGGAATAATATTTTTTCCAACCGTGTAGTATCAAATAGCAAAAGTTCATTAGAGGTTGTTATAATTTCGACCCCGACTCTGTCAGAGTTGAAATCGAGTTTTGGAGTTTCCCGCAGGTCTCTAGTGTGGATGTTAGTCTTCTCTTGAGTTACATCCACACCCAAAAAAAATTCAATGCACAGTTATATCTTGTTACTGTATGTCTCATCTGAAGAGCAGTGGGTTCACAAAAACATGTAACCGAGTCCGAGAACAAAAAATAAAAGATTGGACTCGGATCCGAATCTGGAAGAATTCGCAACTTCCTAGTAAGATGATTAATAATATAGCATACGTTTCATTATCTTTCTTTCCTAATATATTACTTAGACGAAAAATTTTTGCTGTCACTAACTTGATAACAAAATATAACGAGCGCTTAAGTATATGAAAATTTTAGAATGACTGTCAAAAACTTTTCTGATTTGAATAAAATTTCTAATTTTTGAAATTTGAATTTGGTAATTCTGAGTAAAAATGATGATAATCAGAAAATTTCTCATTCAAAAAAAAAAATCAAATCAGCATAGATCGATTTGAAAAAACAAAAAGTATCTGAATAATTCATTTAACTTATAAATTTCTCATTTATTCAAAAAGAAAACAAAATGTATACAATGGATAACTAGCGCCATCTATAATAATAAAAATCTTATTGGTTAAATCTGATTGACCATTGGTCGTTCTTGTTTCTCTCCTCCGCTTCGTTCTGGGGAAAAGGATAAACGTCGGAAAATGGCCGCCGTTGTTCTTTCTTTGTTTTTCTTAAGTGAATCGCTTTTCTACATCGAACTAATTGCACGGTTGAATGATTTTTCTCTTACTTTTCTAGATATATTGTCTCTCTCTTGTTCTCTTAATCATTTTCTTTTGGTATTTTGTTGTTTTTTTTTTTCAAATGAGACAAAAATGAGGTTCATATGAACAGTGTAAGTAAAAACAAAAAAAAAAAAGAATAAATAATTAAATGAATTTTATTTTCAAATTTTTTAATATAGGGTGGGAATGAAAAAACATTTAATCAACCACCACTACTTCATATAATTGTCATTGGATATAATTTTGCTATATTTTGTTTTATTTTGTGTATTTCAATCTTCAATGACTTCTTCTTCCTCTTTAAATAATATTCCAATTTGTTTATTTTGTAATTGTCCATCATCCTGTAGTCTTGGTCAAGGTGATTTAATTTTAATACATTCTCCGTCGGATCAATCCCAATCGATAATTAATTCTATACCTCGAACTCTTCAGTAAAAAAAATTCAATGATTATATTTTGTTTTTCTTTTTTTAATTGTTTTTTTTTTGTCGTAATTCAGAGATATTCCAATTGAAAAAAGAAATAATTTTATATTAGAAACTGGAAAAATTATTGTACCTGTTGATTCAGAATTATTTAATATTGGTTTTCAATCATCATCAAATGTTATATTTAATGGAAATTTTTGGATACATGAAAGATGTCTCAAATGGTCATTAGGTAATAGAGAAAAAATTAATGATTATGATCTTATTCGAACAATAATTATTAATGCAATTAAACAAGTAAATTAAAATAAAAAAAAATTTTTACTTAACTATTCTATAAGAGAGAAATTCTTTGAATATATCTGTTAATCGATGTAGAAATTTATTACAGATGTTATTAATTATCATTACTTATGTTCTCTCGTTTTTATGAATTACTTTCGTCTTGCTTTTCTGAAGGATTAAGTAAAAAAATGAGACGAATAGAACACAATTCCTTCTATGATTAATAGTATATTAGTTAAACTATTGCGCTTTATATTTTAATCTCGCACGTGATTTTGATTTTTATGAAAATTAATTTCTTTAGAAATGTACAATATGTGATCGTTATGGAGCTTCACTTTCTTGTCGAAATGAATTATGTTCATTAAAATTTCATTTACCATGTGCACAATCATCGGGTTGTTTTTTTTCACATTCACAATTAACATTTCTTTGTCCACAACATTTAGATTCTGTTGTATCAATTTGTAAGATTATTTTTATTTTTATTTTTTTAACTTTTTTTATTATTATTATTAGTTGGTGTTGAATCATCATCATGTGAAGCATGTTCAGAACCAGGTGATGTTCGTGGACAATTATTTTGTACAAATTGTGATAAACATTATCATGCTGAATGTCTTATGCTTGAATCAAATCGTGTTGTACGAACAGGTTGGCGTTGTCCAGATTGTAAAATTTGTCAAACATGTCGACAATCAGGTGATGATGCTGAAATGATTATGTGTAATGTATGTGATAAAGGTTATCATACATTTTGTTTACGTAATCAATCAATACCAAAAGATGGTTGGAGTTGTTCAAGTTGTTTATCATTAACAAATAAAAATTCATCAAAAAAATCTATATGTTCATTATGTCAAAATGAAATTTTATCTAAACATAATATTCGTCAATGTCATATATGTCAAATACGTGTTCATTCAACATGTCATTCAATGAATGATGATTATTATGATGATGATACAGCATATATGTGTAGATCATGTTCAATATCATCAATAACAACATTACCTATGGATGAAGGAGATGATGATGATGAACATAAAGAAATTTATCGTTCATCATCAAATTCAAAAATGAGTAGATTATTAAGTAAATCACAAAAATCAAGTGTAAGTTTATAAATATATATATACAT